AAGAGTGGTTGGACACTGGAACAGGCTGCCCAGGGAGGTGGTTCAGTCACCATCCCTGGATGTGTTTAAGGGTGGTTTGGATGTGGTGTTGGTGGATATGGTTTAGGGGAGAACTTTGTAGAGTAGGGATGATGACTGGACTCAGTGATCCCGAGGGTCTTTTCCAACCTGAATGGTTCTATGATAGCTCTCCTCTCATCTTCCGTGCATTTATAAATTTCTGAGTAGTTTCTGTTCTTGTTAAAAATTTAAGATGTTGCTGTTATGTTTGGTTGCATTGCATCTGCCAAGTTTTTTGTTCCTTCTGTACAGGTGTTGAGCCAGTGCAAGTTCAGGAGACTGTAGAAAACCATTTAAAGAGCTTACTTATCAAGCATTTTGACCCTCGGAAAGCAGATTCCATCTTTACAGAGGAAGGAGAGGTGTGCATGGAATCCATGTTGTTGTCTTTACATGAGTGGATCCCACATAGATGCATTTATCTGATGGAGTAGTAGATGTGGGGGAAGGGAAATTATGTCTTCAAAACTCTTTTAAGAAACACCTGGTTTCAAAACACCGTGTTTCACTGGAGTCCTCAGAGACTTAGGAAACTTAGCAAATTTGACTGCATCCTTCTTTGTAATAAAGTCCTGTATAACAACCCACAGGACTCCTGAGAGCTAAAAGGCTTATATTTAATGATCCTGACAACTAGATATCCTTACATTTCTCTGTATTTCTCTGATCCTTTCAGACTCCAGCCTGGCTTGAGCAAATGATAGCACATACTACATGGAGAGATCTCTTTTACAAGTTGGCAGAAGCCCATCCTGACTGTTTGATGCTCAATTTTACTGTGAAGGTAGTATATTCAAGTCTAGTAAATGTGAATATCCATAAAGGGCTGATTGTTCTTGTATCAAATATGGTTTTGCCTGTATCTTTTATATATTCCTACATAATACTGCTTATTGAAATGTCAGAATAGTACAAGAAATATGGCGCAGGTTGCAAGTAGTAAGTGTACTTTCCCAGTCTGAAGTTCTGCTCTTTGAATTTGTTTAATATTTTTTGTTGTTGCCCCTTTTTTTCCCCTTTGATCTGTATTTGAAAATTCTGGATTTCTGGTGCAGTGGAACGTTTCAGCCAGTTTTCTATGTATCTGTGAGAGGGAAGGAATGTTATAATGTATCTTGTGCCCTGAAGTATCCTTTTGTCATTATGGTTTACTTTATTTTTGCTACATCTTTATTGGTTTCCTTTTTTGTAGTCTAAAAAATGAACATGAATTCCAGGAAGTACAGAGCTGGATTGTACATTCTGTGATTTCTCCTAGACTTTTTATGATATCATAAACGTAAATAATACAAGTTTTCTCTGATATTTTTGGTTTTATAGCTTATATCTGATGCTGGATATCAAGGGGAGATAACCAGTGTTTCAACAGCCTGTCAGCAACTAGAAGTATTTTCTAGAGTCTTGCGAACGTCTCTGGCAACAATTTTAGATGGAGGAGAAGAAAACCTTGAAAAAAACCTCCCAGAGTTTGCTGTAAGCTTGTTTTTTTTTCCCTTTTACGTAGAAAGAAAATAGTGTTTTCCTTTCCAGTTAGGATATAATAGAATTGTGGCATTGTAGTGAATCTTGACATCAGTCTTATGAAGAGAAGGTACATCTGAGTTCGAAAGTAGAACTTTATGCTTTTTGATCATTCTGTGACCAGAAACTCATTGGGTTGCTTATGTGACACTTCTTATGTTTATGAAATGGATTGTAAAATGTTAAAGGTAGCACTGTTGTCTCACATTTAATGCAAGATCTAAAGGTCAGTCTTCTCAGTCCCCTGTCAAATTAAAATAGTTACGTTATCACCCACACCGGTGTGAAAGCTGCCAACTGAATCACCCTGGCATATGTTCTGTGTTGTGAGATAGCATAAAGACTTTCAGACTTCTCTTACTTTTAAAACATTGCAGAGAAACTACTGAGTGTAAGCAGGAGAGCATTCCCTCTCTATTTTAGCATTTAAGAAATGGAAGTTCTCAATTCAGCCATTGGTTCCTGTATGGTACCAATGCACAGTGGTTCTGGGCTTTTGTGTACTTCCTTCTTGGCTGGTGGGTATTTGTTTTCTTCTTGGTTTAGCTTTGGTTGGTTGTTTTTTCCTTTGTGTTGGTAGATGGCAGTGAGATCATTGCCATCACAGCAGTGTAATCACAGAATCATACTTGCATATTTGCTGTTGACTGGTAAGATTTTTGCTGTGTGCATCCGCAGAAGATGGTGTGCCATGGAGAGCACACATACCTGTTCGCTCAGTCGATGATGTCCATTTTAGCTCAAGAAGAGCAAGGAGGCTCAGCTGTCAGGAGGATTGCTCAGGAGGTTCAGCGATACGCTCATGAGAAGTAAGTGGGAGTTGGTTAATTAGTGAAATGCGAGTCACTGGAATTTGTAAGCTGATGTATTTTGTTCATCCTTGGTTACCTTTTACCAGCAGTAGAGTAATTCTTTTAGCAATCTTTAATTTGTAGAATGACAGAAAAGTTCAATGTCTGTACTGGTAGACCTGAAATAAGAATAGCAAAAACTAAAGTTTCTGTCTATAAGTAAAGGCCTATTTCTACAATGACCCAGGATAAGGGGTTCTGCCCTAGGGCATTTCATTCCATAGGATGTGCTCTTTGGACTCAGTGAGTCTAAAACTAAAATGTGCAAAATAAGAAAATAAGTTGCTGTTTATGTTTGCTTTTCATCTAGAGGCCACGATGCCAGTCAGATCACTTTAGCACTGGGTACTGCAGCCTCCTATCCTCGAGCATGTCAGGCTCTTGGTGCCATGTTGTCCAAAGGAGCTCTGAATCCAGCAGATATCACTGTCCTGTTCAAAATGTTTACAAGCATGGATCCACCTCCAGTAGAACTGGTTAGTAGTTATCTTTTTATAACCTCTGAAACTTAGTTCTCAAAGCCCTTAGGCTCGAGCTCTCCTGACCCTCATCAGTCTGTGCTCTCTCCAGCAGCAGCTCCGGGATTCCTCGGGACTCTTCCCAGTTCAGGGAAGTGCTGTGGGAGTTGCTGGGGGTGAGGGGAGGTGAAAGGCTTTTGCCCATACCTGAATATATCTGTATATAATTGTATATATATTCTTGTATCACTCATTAGTGTTTTAATTAAAGCTGTGTAGTTTAGTTTTCAATCCAGCCAAGTCTCTCTCTTTTTCTCTCTCTCCTTCCCTACCTGGGGGGGAGGGGATCGAGAGCGTTGTTGTCGGACCTGAGTCAAACGGTGACAACAATTTATTGGCTCAAAGTAGCACTCAGAAATGTGAGGTCTTGTTTTGCTAAGTGTTGTATTGACACAAAGTAGAAGTTAGCACTCAGACTCATCTCTCTATCACTTTATGTAATGTCTAAATGTGAAACTACCACTTGTATTCTGTTTCCCATTACCTTCTTAATTGTTGGGCTTTTTTAAAAATATAATTCCAAGTAGGTTTTTTACATATACTTAAATTAATTGAAGAACTTCTTAATAGGATATGAAAGTGGTAAGGAATTAATAACTTATTTTATTAAAAAATTGAAAATAATTTTTAAAAACTACTCAGTTTTGCAGTTTGTTACAAGCAGACTTGAATGGCATGTTTCAGATTTCTCACTGCCTCATTTGGGTCCCTTCATGAAACTGTCTAACTTACTCCCAAGAGGGAATGTGTTATATTTCATCCTATGCAAGGTGTATCAGATGCAAATGTTACAGTTTCAGTCTCAGGCTCTGATCAACCATTAATTTTCTTCACAGATTCGGGTACCTGCCTTTCTGGACCTTTTCATGCAGTCATTGTTTAAGCCAGGTGCTAAGATCAACCAAGACCACAAACATAAATATATTCATATACTAGCATATGCTGCTAGTGTAGTAGAGATGTGGAAAAAGGTAATGTTCAGTTCTGTGAATAATACTGTTTTTACCTACAGTGGCCTGACCGTGCTGAAGAGTTGTATGGTTGGGAAGTTGCTCAGTAACCACAAAGGTTAACTCGTAGCAGTGCTGTGCTACTAGAATCCTTTGTACTTTTTCAGAGGAAGAATAATTTAATACTCTGAAGTGGATAAAGTGATTCTTAGGGAGTTAAATAAAGCAAACATCCTTGCACTTCAGCTCATTGATACTTAGTTCTTCTGAAACTTACATTTGAGTCTAAATTCTGAGAAACATGATGTAATCTTAGGCTCGTCACAGGTTACAGTTTATTTCTGTAAATAACCAAAGACTGAATTGCATTCAAACTTTGCAACTTTTCAGAACAAGAGAGTCAGCATAAATAAGGATGAACTCAAGTCAACTTCAAAAGCCATTGAAACTGTTCACAATCTGTGTTGCAATGAGAACAAAGGAGCATCAGAGTTGGTTGCAGAACTGAGCACTCTTTATCAGTGCATCAGGTGAGCTGAGAATCTAGTCCCAAGCTTAAGTTGTTGGAAGGAAAGCAGTATTTAGTAAAGACACAAGTGCTAGAGGGAAATGCCATTGTGGGCTGCTCTCTGAATGCATCCTCATTGTAGCACATGTGAACTTGTGGTCTGAAAAATTGTACATCTGGCTTCTTAGAATCTCTCATGAGAACTTAGATTCTGGCTGTCACTGACAATTTGTCCTTGAGTCACCAAATACACTTTTTTCTGTCACTGGAAAAAGATGACAGAGTGCTTTGTCTTCCTAAAGAAGCTTTCCTACCAGTAGCTGTGTCCTTTCTTCTATTGAAAATGTGAAATAGCAGACATTGAATGAGCTAGAACAAAGTTAGAGTGTACTTGAATTTTGTTGTGTATTTTTTACATATTGTGCTCAGTAGGGAATGTCTTTGTAAAAATAATTTTTGTTTGGCTTATTTTTTTTCTCCTTTTTTTTTTCCCTCCTTTTTTTTTTCTTGAGGTCCAGAGAACTTTTTGAACAGAAGTTTTTGAGCTTTATTAATTCTGCTGTGAGGCAAACTGAAACTAGCAACTGTTAGAATATGCTTAAAGATTGTATTTTTAAATATACTTTGAGTTTTTTGTTGTGCTTTGGGTTTTCTGGAGGTTGTTTTTTATGCTCTTGTGCTAAAGTGATCTCTTCTTCTGTAGGTTCCCAGTGGTGGCAATGGGTGTATTAAAGTGGGTGGATTGGACAGTGTCAGAACCACGGTACTTCCAGCTACAGACTGATCACACTCCAGTTCATCTGGCATTACTGGATGAGGTAAAAGCATTTATAAAGTCTTGCTGGAGAGTGAAAATGCTTCTGACACATGTAACTGGAAGTATGTCCAGTCCTCTGGATGCCTGTCATTTGCAGTAGGTCAGTAAATGTGAAGAGATTCACCTACTGTATTCAGAGTTCATTATTTGGTTCTGTCACCTCAGCATTATTTAAACGAGGAAAACTTAGGTATCAAAGAAAGAAACAGTGGAGTACTTTTGTGAAAGAATTTCCATCTGGCACTGACCATCAGTGTAAACATGTCTAATAAAGACTGGTGTGGTGGTTTTTAAATTGAAGTTCTGAGGATCTAACTTTCCTGTCTCGTTTGCAGATTAGTACATGCCATCAGCTGCTTCATCCCCAAGTTCTACAACTTCTTGTCAAGCTGTTTGAAACAGAACATTCACAGCTTGATGTAATGGAGCAGGTAATTCTCAAAAGATTCATTATTTGTGTTCCTTCATGTTGGTTGTGCTTATTCAAGATACCAGCTTTTGCTGTCACAGGAGTTTTAAGAGTTTTAATGTAGGAATACGGTCATGGTTAAAAAGCAACACAGGGGATATTGTATCAATGAGTGAGCAATAAAAATTTCACGCTTTTGAGAGGAAGTTCTAATATGTTGGTTTCTTCTCCTCTCCCTCCACCACCATCAGCTGGAACTGAAGAAGACTCTCCTGGATAGGATGGTGCACCTGCTCAGTCGAGGATATGTCCTGCCTGTCGTCAGCTATATCCGCAAATGCCTGGAGAAGCTAGACACAGATATCTCTCTGATCAGATACTTTGTTACAGAGGTCAGCAACAAAAATTGTGTTTACTGACATGTAGAAATAAAAGTATCAGTTGTGTGTGTTTGGATATTAAGTCAGCTTGCCTCAGATTCAGAAATAATGGCAGATATGAGATCAGATTTTGAGTAGTGTATGTAATATCAGTATTCACTAGGATGTGATGTAGTCTTGCTGACTTCTGAAAATACTAAGGTACTGGGTAGAGTTCCACAAGAATACATAGTTACTTACTTGTATGCAGAACTAGAAATCTTGAGTGCAACTACTTGTATGTTTCAAGACTAGTATTAGGAATTAAATATGGTCCCCTTTACCTCTCTAACTGGAAGAATAATCTATTTTTTTCTGCTGTTTCAGGTGCTGGATGTTATTGCTCCTCCATATACCTCAGACTTTGTGCAGCTTTTTCTTCCAATCTTGGAGAATGAAAGTATTGCAGGTACTATTAAGACAGAAGGTGAACATGATCCTGTCACTGAGTTTATAGGTAAGTCACTTTTGTTCATCGTTTAGCTGCTGCCTTCTGTATTTGTGAGAATTTGCAAACAATGTTTAGGAGGAGGAGTGCTTAAACTAGGAATGCCTGCCAGATGCTTTCACAGATAACTTCTCTTTTGAGGGCCGGTGTTTAGCAATATTCCTTTAATCAAGAGTCTTTGGGTAGCAGTAAGGAACTTGGAGACAAATACTGCTTTTTGAGAACTGGTGTTGTAGTAAAGAAAGAATAGGCAGGGAAGTCAGCTGTAAAAATATACTCCTATCCTAAAATAACATCTGTCCAGACCATAAAATCCTATTTCTTGGTATAATGTAGAAATCCATGTGCAAACAGACAAGTTACAGTAATGTACCAAACACTTTATTTCATTTTTTTTCTTTCTTTTAAGCTCATTGCAAATCTAACTTTATTGTGATGAACTAAGTGGAAAATATCAAGAATGCAGAGCACATGAACTCTACTTTGCCATGCCATCAATAAGGTTCTGTAACTGAGCAACACAGCAGCAGCAGCAAAACCAAACCAAAAACAACACAAAAAAACCCAACCCAACAAACACCAAACAAAGAAGAGAGGGCTGAAGGGCATTTGATTGACTTCCATGATGACCTTGAGCTTCTTACCAGAGGAATGTTTGTGTGCTTTGGAAAATGGAATGAAACTGATTTTCTGTTGTTACAGAAATAAATCTGAATATTCTGATGGGAATAGCAGAAGAGAAACAGATTTATTTCAAATAATGTTGTTTCAGTTACTTGCAGAATTTGTCACTGATGCTTTGTGTAGTGTGAAGACCTGAAGAATTGGGAAGGTAGTTCCTACAAAAAACTTTACAGATAGTTCTCTGCAGAGTAAATCTTGAATGCTTTGTTTTTGATGTTGCGAGTTATAAAGAAGGGATTTGTGTGATTAGCTCTGTGCTGTGGAGAGGCCACAATGCTTCCTTCTCACCTTTGCATTCCATTAGAATTCTAAATATCCTACATCTGTTTTTTGAAATACAAGTTGTAACAATCAGGGTTAGTTTTTTATTAACAGATGAATCCTACATGAGTGTGTGATCTATTTTTTTGTTGCTAAATAGATGCATCAAATGTTGCTGGTAAGTTTCATTACCATGTCAGAATTCTGCTACTGCCCAGAACCATGACTGTGTGCAGAAGTCTCATTACTGCTTGTTGTGACTTGTTTTTTATACTTATCTCTACTCTGTCCTGGTTGATGCCAAACAGTGGTGTTGATATCCAAGATTACAATTTACCTTTAAATAAAGTTTTTTTTCTTTCCCAGAGATGTCTTTCAAGGTTTCATTAAGACCATTCTTTCTATTAATCAGCCTGGATTCCTCTTTATGCAGGCAAATACTGTTTGTTTAAAAGTCAGGGTTATAGACAAGTCCATTGTGCTTTTCCAAGCACATCTGATTTTCTGAAGAACCTGCTTTCTAGAAGATAGGGACATTTTAAGTTCAACTGGATGTAAATTTAAAAAAAAAGCCACTTTATTCTTCTCTGTTATTAGTGGCTCATGAATGGGAGCTCTTAAGCTGCCATAATGGTTCTTGAGAGAGTAGCCAAGTGTATAGATTCTTAACTCCTTTTCAAAGGAGTGCATCTTCCCTTTCCGCAGCTGGTCCCTCACATACTCCACAGTGCCTGAGCTTACCACAACAACACTTAAAGTGCTCTAATCAACTTAAAGCACAGTGTGAAAAGAGCAAAACTTGCTTCTGCACAAGCTGTTCTGAACTTTTCTGTGTGTCTTTGAATAGAAGATATGCTGTCATTTCAGCTAGCTCTTACCATTTCAACTTGCATGAGACCTACTTTTCATAATATTTTAGGTAGAATTAGCCTACAGGTTTGGCTTTTTGTAGCCACTGACTTCCTGTAACAGTTCACCCTGTTTAAGATGTAGCCCTGCCTCATCTATCATCCATTTAGTGACAATTAAGAGCACTTTGTTCCTGTCTCCATTGCAAATTTGCCAACTGTTCAAAAAAAGTATACTTTTGGTTTCCTCTGTGTTCAAGCTTGGTATCACTTGCACTAAACACTTGAGTTTCTCTGTTCTTACCCACGTGGATGATTTTTAGCTAGTTAAAACTTGATGCTGTGATTAGTACTGTCATGGTCATATCTCAATGGAACTTAAGTTACAGCAGGCATTGCAGCTTGGCAGAATTGATCCTTATTGGCACTATGGAGTCATTTTGCTATGGTAAAGGAAAGCCAAGGAGGCAGATGGAATTGTGCCTTTTTGCCTACTTAAGAACGAAAGACAGTAATACTATTTAAGATGTGAATGGTGGATGAGGGAGATAAACACCTAATGATTTACATATGAGTTTTGTATGTAGGAAGCCAAAATTAGGCCCATGTGAACCAGAAAAGTCAGTCTTTGAAGTCCCCTAGCCTACAGGAATATGGCCTAACCTCAGGACTAAAACAAGAGTTCCCATTGTCACAATGCTCAAAGCTGTGCTGTTTCAAATGTCCGTGGTCAGAATAGCACAACCACCTCAACTTCATCCTGGACACCAGCAGCCTGATTCTTTTATGGGTCTTTGCTGTTCTGCCAACCTTACCTTCTGATTAGGAGCAGATTTATTTCTTTCACAGACAAAACCAAGGTAAGTGGCAAAAACTGCCAACTGTGAGGTAGCAAATGATAGTTAATGAAAAGACTCTTGTTCTTTCTCTGCATGACTAAAAAGCCTTAACTTACAGGTTTGAGTGAGGCATAATTCACCAGCTGCTTTGATTTATGGCAGGTTTTGAAGATTGACACTTAAAAGCGGTGTTCTACAACATACATCTCTTCTCTCCCTTGCTTGTTGAAGTCAGTTGCTTCCTTGTAACTTATATCTTAATCTCCAGTGTGGGTAGAGGTAGTATAATTTGAGTTCTTGTTTCAACCTTCATAGTTGCTGTGTGGGCTGGGTTGTCAACCAACCCTTAGTCAAGAAAAAGTCCAATTAAAAGCAGCACCATCCTGGATAAGCTTTGGGTAGTTAGGCTGCCACACAGACTGCTTGTTAGGTACAACAACAGAAGACAACCATTACCATATAGTAAAAAGCTCTTCAGTCATGTAAGAGAAAAAGTAAGAGAAAAAGGATGTTTATTAAATGCAATTAACAATTCCTTCTCATAACATCTGATATGGCACTGATTTGCCACTTAGTAAATGGCTCTGTTATATGGAAGAGAATTTGCTACCTTAATTCAAATTAGTGAAGAGTTTGGGGCTTTGGCAATTTATACTTTGCCTCTTTAGGAGAAAAATGGCACAGCTAATCATATATTAGAGCAAGGTATTGAAGCCAAGCCAAGACTAATTAAATAACTGTTTCAGCTTTTTATTTGATCCAAACAGTTCCTGTTACAGTGTTTTTGGTTGGTTAAAAGCAACTGCATTATATGAGACTTCCAACAACACTAGTTCACCAGGAGATCAAAGAAAAAATAGAGGATTTAAGTTTTTAATATATCATGTCCAGACTTAGTGTTGTTTTTTCACCTGCATCCTTGTGAATAATATTTGCTCTATACTGTCAGACAATTTAATATAAGCTCTTGACCCAAATATTGAGTACACTTTTTCCTTCCCCTATATAATCTGTATTTTTAAAAAAGATTTACACAGTTTCTGTGATTAAGTCAGTATGATTTAAAAACTGTGCATCAAGACAAGGAATTTTTTCATGTATAAATTACTTTTTAAAAATTGTAAATAATTATCTAAAGCCATATCTGTATTTATTTTTACTTTGAAGGCGTGTTATCTGGGCTAGTTTTGCATAATTGCCAGGTGGTGTTGAACTGTGAAAGTTTTAGACTACTATTCTTTAAAAAGGAAAAGGTTGTGCTTTCCTAAACAGAAAGATGTACAACACAGAATCAAGGAAGAACAACATCTCCATAGGCACAGTCCTCTTCAATAGCAAGATTGTACTCTGCTCCTCTTCCACCTTTATATGCACTTGTCACAATTCTCAGCCATCCTCTTTCACCCTGTGAAAAATTAATTTGAATTGTGAATTAGAAAACGTAACTACAGAAAATGTTTGCTGTTGAGTCTGCTCTGTCTTCCAAATAGGAATGACTTACAAGTGAATCTAGGAATTCACTCAAGATGAAGTATAACTTCGGGTCTGCAGGGCAACCTTCTTTGAAGGGGCCATCTGCTTTGATGAACTTGCATCCTCCTTATCTGTTCCAAGTGTAAGACTTGATTTTTGTCTACAACTAGCTGTAATTTACAGTTTCCCGTAATAGAAGCTGCATGTCCATGGAAGGGTAGCATTTAGGATTGAATTGACCTCAAGTAACTTTTGGCTGAATATGCTTATCTTCAAATTAGTCAAGTTTTGTCTTTTAACTGCTGGTGTAATTCAAAGAAAGATTATTTTTCCTATCTACAGAGCAGCTTTGCAGCTTCCTGTAAGCAAGTGAAAAACCCCACCTTTTCTCTAAAGTCATTCTGCAAGTGTTTGTTCCTATGTTTCCTTACCCAGGGTTCACCCCATGAGTTACGAACAATCCAGTATTCTGTTCCATTTTCCACTCCCCAGCCAGCCACAGATACAACGTGATTCACCACAGGCGAGCTGTTGTGCTCCATATAAAGTCCTCCAGTGTAAGCATCCAGCTTTTCAGTAGCCATTATACCACAGCTGTAATAAAACAGAAAAACATTTTTTTATACAGGGGGATCAGGGCAGGGACCTGGCTAAAACAACACTGGTTTTCTTGCATTTTTACTTCAGATCTCAATTTATCTACAAACTAGCTAAAGCCTATGTATTAGTGCAGAGCTGCTAATGTATGCTAGAGTGAAGTACACTTCAGGCATTAGAATGAATCAAAAGTATTTCAATCCCAACATTACCAGTAGATAAACATTTTCTTTATCACCCAGGATGACTTTTTTTACCTAATGGGTCCATTAGTATAGATTTCTGCCATCATTTTTTCTCTTCCACTGACAGACCCATAGTCAGCAACTTTCCAGAGAGTGTAGTTCTTTATCACATGGCATTCTCCAAAAGTGACACAAGTTCCACACTGGTTAAACTTCTTACACTCTAGAAAACAAAAGAGAGATGATCACTGTGAAATAATGCTTTTCTTCATGTGAATTAATAATATGACACTAAACTTATTTTATCTTAAAGCAGACATTAATAACATAGGAGTAATTACTGATACATACCCTCTCTGGTGAGCTAAATTCCTTTCTGGCAACCACATTTAAAGTCTTACTATTCTTTACTTCATGGGCATAAGTGCTTTGAGGAAGAAATGTTTCAGATGTGCTACTCTGTAGATACAGGAACTATTTTAGTCATGCGTGACCAGGCAAAGGCTACATTTCTCCTTTGTTTAGCTTGAGATGACACTTGCAAATATTTCAGTACATTAGAGATTGTGTATCACAGACATGAGATTAAGTTTAAACAATTTAGCTGTGCAAACGTGTCTGGGCATGATTTAATGCTATGCTGTCTGGCTAGAGTAAGGAGACACACACAGGCCTGTAAAAAAAAACAAACGTTCTGTCAGTCAAACAGTTCTGTCAGTACTACACTGAAAGCCAGGAACCTGTACACTGAAACCCCAAAAGACTTTTTTAATAGATATATTAAGATCTTCTAAACCTGGGATGAAGCCTTACAGCAAAGCAAATAGGTGACTTACTTTGATCCTTAGCTTGGTAGTTGTTGCAGGTCTCATCTGGAATGCCATGCTCATGGGCATACATCCAAACACCTGAGTGGTCTCCACCTTCACAGGATCCTGCATTGGCACAGTCGATCACGTTCTGAACAGAGAGGTAGGCAGAAGGCCATGCACCTTTTCTCTTGATGTTGATTCGATCTGTAAGGGTAAGAAATTGGGTTTTGCTAGTGGAATATGTGGGCAGCTACACATTGCAACTAGTGTTAAAACTCTCTCTCCATTGAACCTCTAACTGTTGCAAGGAACAGTACTTGTGGTTGGAAAAGCAACAGTGAAGTACATGGCTGCTCATGGCATGGACTAACTTGAACCATCAGGCTGAGTTGTTGTGGGGTTTCCATTAGAAACTTTTTCCATTAAAAACTCAGCATAAATATGCAGATGAGTAAGATCTGTTTAAAGCCTTGAAGTGCCCTAGACCTTTTTTAATTCAAGTCACAGCTTCTGAAAACTTCCAGATCTGTTTCTTGGCTTTCACAGCAAAGAGTTGTAAAATACACATCGTAAAACCAGCTCTCACTGAACTCTTTTGCAGGATTAATGATTTATGCATAAGCCTGTGCAGCCCAGGCCCCTGGCTCTGAGACAATCTTCACAAAGCAAGGAAAAGCTTGCAGAAGTATATCCTCACATTACATCAACATCTCTTATCCTTCCATCTCAGACAGGTATTGCCACCCTGCTGCCTTATTTTGTCAGAAACCACTAGCTTACTTGGCAGAAAAGCTTCCTGATGAGTATTTATAAACTGCTTCTCACAGTGCATTAACAGTCTTAACTGATGCCACTGTAGTGCTTTTAATCTTACTAGTACTAACAACATTCAGCTATCCTTGACAGAACTGGGAGGCATTATCCCAGCCTAGCCTTCCAGCAACAAGGGAAGGAATTAATGCTTTAACTATTCTCAGCAGTTAAGAAATATTCTGATTTGTAAAGTCAACCTTTTATACTTATAAAAATGCACTGTAGTGTCTTTGCATTTCTGCACAATTTCCTCTATTTCAGTTGCTCTACTTGCAGCCTCCCCCTGCAGACAGGAGGGCTGCAGCATTTACATAATGCATGCATGCTCTGGGGGGAGAAGCAAACCCCTACTTCCCTTTTCCCAAGAAAAAAGCTGATAGATATCTGCTAAAACTAGATTTGCCTGTATGCTGTGGTAGTCAGTTCCTTTGAATGGTAGAGCTCTTGAAGATAATACCCTGCGGGCCGTTCCCAAGACTGAGAGCTGCATTTGTTTCCTCATACCCAGGCATGACTGGAGTTGCCCCTCTAGGTCTAGTGCAGCAGGCTGAGGTAGCAGGGAAGGAGACACCCTAAGTGCTTTTGCATCTGCTCCTACCATTAGCATGCCACCAAGAAGGGCAGGAAACCCAGGAATTCCAGGAGCTAAGAAAGCATTCCTTCTGCAGACAGCTTCTGAACCATGCCAGTGCCCCCCCCCTTGCACAATTGTGAGGCTGCTGCCAGCCCCACAATTACTGAAACCAAACCTCCTTGCCTTCAGCTTGGGAATTCCCACTGTTCCTGGTGTATTCACAGAGGTCTCATCCTGAGGTTTTGCTGCATTAGTCACTGCAGTGTTTTGGCATCTCTTCTTTGTAAGGCCCCTTTTGTAAGCAGGAGATAAACTTCCTTTGCTAAACTGTAACTCAGGGGGCAGCAGCCCAGCCCAGCCCAGCATACCTGCCAGGGCACTGGTGCTGCCATGGGCCCAGCAGGACCCGCAGTACTGGGGGATGTGCTGGTTGCGGGTGGTGCTGGCGTAATTGACGCCGTTCACGTTCCTCCAGTCCCAGCTCTCGGGTAGCGCCGAGATGTCCAGGTACTCGTGCGGGCGGGGGTAGGTCCTGCAGGCAGAGAATCATAGAGCCATTCAGGTTGGAAAAGACCCTCAGGATCACCGGAGTCCAACCATCATCCCTACTCTACAAAGTTCTCCCCTAAACCATCTCCACCAAAGCCACATCCAAACGACCCTTAAACACACCCAGGGATGGTGACTCAACCACCTCCCTGAGCAGCCTGTTCCAGTGTCTGACCACTTTCCTAATTTTTCCCTAATGTCCAGTCTAGACCTGCCCTGTTGCAGCTTGAAGCCAGTCCCTCTTGTTCTGACACTAATTACCTGTGAAAAGAGACCAGCACCAACCTCTCTACAATGACTTTTCAGGTGTTTGCAGAGACTGAGGAGGTCTCCCCTCAGCCTCCTCTTTGTCAAACTAAACATTCCCAGCTCCTTCAAGCCTTCTTCATCAGATCTATTCTCTTGCCCTTCACCAGCTTTGTTGCCCTCCTCTGTCCTCGCTCCAGCACCTCACCTTCTCTCTTGAATTGAGGTGCCCAAAACTGGACACAACACTCCAGGTGTGGCCTCCCCAGTGCTGAGCACAGGGGGACAATCACCTCTCTGCTTCTGCTGGTCACACCATTTCTAAGCCAAGCCAGGATGCCACTGGCTTTCTTGGCCACCTGGGCACACTGCTGGCTCATGTTCAGCCACTTGTCAATTAGAACCCCCAGATCCTTTCCTGCCACACTTCCCCAGGCCTGGAGCTGTTGTGGCCCAACATGAAGCCCAGACCATTAACATTAGCCCAACGATCTAATCTATCTACATCTCTCTGTAGAGCCTCCCGATCAACACTCCTACCCAGCTTGGTGCCGTCTGCAGACTCACTGATAAACACTCTTTGTCCTTATCAAGATCATCAATAAGGACGTTCAACAGACACGGTCCCAACACCGAGCGCTGAGGACACCGCCGGTGACCGGCCCCAGCTAGCGGCTCCC